CCATAAAAAGTGTGAAAAAGACAAGCGCCGAAAGACCAGGACAAGGTCTTTCGGCGCTTGTCTTTTTCCATTATGAACCAACTGGCCCAACTCACCATTTTGTTGCAATTCATAAAAAGTGTGGTTTGCTATAACCGCGCACACATCAGCCCCACCCACTTTGCATACAGGCAGCATGGGCAACAGACATACATATAAATCAAATATAGATCAACCCATTAGTGTACCACGGAGTTTCAAGTTCGTGTAAATTGTCTAGCTCTAGTTAAATTTACACTAGTATGAAGCTAGCGTAAATTTTCCGACACACTTTTGGCGTAACTTGGCAAATAGTAAAGGCTGCTACGGTTGCAAGCCTATCCCTTGCCTTGCCTGGAAAGTAAGTCAAGACCCTTTAACGATAAATAACGGGATTAAGCGTATTAAATGAATACCAGTAGAAAGTACTTTTTTTTCTAATCCTTTGGGCTTGAGCTTACCGGCTCGCGTATAAGGGCAGAACAACATGACTCGTTTTGAACCTGCGCCAGCTAGTTCGGTGCTTCCTTGTTTGTCGAGATCCTGTTTCCTTTGAACTTTTCTTTAAAGATTGAAGACCCCTCAGGACGCTGTTAGTCCGAGCAAAATAAATGCAATATGGCTTAGTCTTATTTGTTTTTGCTACCGCCCAAAACTAGCAGCGCGGCGCTACACTAAATTACGGCACGCCTTTCAAGAGTTCCGGCGCAATACCGGGCTTAATACCCCCGCGTTCTGGCGTAACTCGAGATGACTTTCAAATTTAACCCGCCAAGAAAACCTAAATTATGTTGAGCCCGCAGATTTAAAATATTATTTTTTTTATTTTTTACAAGTAGTTATGGTTCGACAAATTGCTCCCATAACTTCGTTTGATGGAAGACAGCTGCCTAAAGATTGCGTTCTAACAACTAACTTTTAGTCGTGTGCATTGAGCGGACCAACACAATTTTAAGATTTATTATTTATTTGCGAGCCCGTCCTACTGCAATCGCGAATATTACGACTTTTCTCCCTCTGACGCGGGCTTTACCTCTCTGAATTTATGCGTGAACCATCCTCCGATGGTTCGCTAACAAAGGTTCGCTAACAAAGATGTGAATGCATTCTTATACAACTGGGGCCTCTCTTGTTGTAAGATATAATTTGGGGTTACTTCAATAGACCGGCCCATTTACGAGGAGCTCGCTTTACTACCAAATGTAATCGTGTCTACAGGAGTTCACTTTTCCACGCTTTTTCTAGAGCCCGTATCCCCAAAAGACCAAGCGATTTTTAAAATATTAACTGGAACCGGGACACTTCTCGTTGACGCTAATTGGGATTGGCGAGATACTTTCATTAATCTAGTTGCGTATATATCACAAACGCGATGTCGACTGCACAAGAAAAAAATCATGGATAGAAGAAAACATTTCAAAGATATATAAAATGCATACGTGAAAGCATGAAGTAGAAACGATCTGCATTATTAGAAGTGCCAGTAACAGTCTGCTCCAAAGTGGCCTGGCACTTAAGTAAGATATAAGATTATCAGGAGCCACCTCGTTCCGCGTTCCTAAAGTTGTCCGGGTCTAGTAGCTGACCTTTCATCAGTGCACCCAACAAGGATTGCGAGCTATATCGCACACCACTGGGAATGCAGTACCAGTGGCAAAATATATAGGGATGCCTCTTTGAGACCTGTAGTTCGTTAATATTAAACTGCTATGGTGATCACCCTCCTCGTTCTACCAATGTGATTATTAGTTGTTTTTTTTTTAATTTTCGCGTTCCGAGACAATTTTGGGCAAGTGACCTTGGAAGATACCTAGAATTCAATCTTGTTTGTAAAAATCTTCTTTGTTTCTTTTTTTAATCCAAGAACTTAAATACTTTATGACCATTTAAAAAACGCCGGACGTACTTGCTATCTTCATTCCTTTTGCTCTTTAATTCTACTTTTTTGTCTTTTTTGCGTGAAGAGATATCAGACGCGCAAAACTTTTCACAGCCCAGTGTTTAATCTGTCAATGTCTATACTACGACAATTATAGTTTGCCGGCGATCGCAACCGCGTACCTCTTTCCGAGGGCGATGTGCTGACGGAAGCCAGTGAAATCCATTTTCCATGGTGAATGTGCGGACTCCTCATCTCCCACGTACGCCCTGAAATGTTATTAGTTTTGTCCTGTAGAACACGGAGGGATAAGTAGAACACGGAACATATCATTTTCATCTTCCTTCTGTATATTTCTTCATCACATATTGGTTATTCCTTCGTTCATTTGCTCAGGGTGGATGGCTAGCAGAAGCTCACGCGCACGGGCCTTTGCCTTTCTGCCTATCCTTGTGAACCACGCACAACCCCTCCTCCTCGCAAGTATAGATGATGCTGATGATTATGCTTTTTATTATTATTAATATTATTATTATTATTATTATTTTCAACCTTTCTATGGTTTTATGGGGAGAATTGTCGGCGTTTCCTCACCAACATTTCTATTCAATGACCGTGTCTGCAATGTGCAGCTGGCATCATTGTGAACGAGTGTTTTAATTTTTTTTTCGTCATTGCGGTGTGAATTTGTCCTATTCCGTACGTTCACTATAAACATTTTTGTAGGCTTTATTCGGTGTGCTAATACCAAGACCGAAAGGTCGTTGCCGGATAGAAAATAGAGCTGATTCTCGATTCTTGATTAGTGATCATTATTATCATAATTTTCTCAAAGCTGCCAGGCCGTTCCTGGGCACAAAATAAAACCACTTCTTGACTATTGGTCACCCTATCCGGCACACATATTTCGCTTTGTCGTACTGTGTGTTTTGTCAGGTTTCCCTGCTTTTCAGAATTATTGGCTCAGAGAAATTGGAGACATGCTCCACACAGGAGTAAACACGCAATCTATTTCTTATAATCCCTCTGATGACATAGTCTCGGTAAAGAGGCGTCCTGACACTGTTCCATTTTCGTTTGTTTTCCTCGCGTGCGCATGTGGCGGTATGTCTTTATTTTAAGTTTGGAAAACAAAATATATAAATTACTCCCCATTCTTCTCTTTGTAAAGGGAGGAACATTCGCCTATACTAGACGATTACCTGATAAAAACATCCTGCGTTTTTACAACACCTAGGCAAATCCTTATTTACTTATCATCCTTGTACCACCCGAGGTGACTGTCGCCCTGAGAAATTGGACACCTGCGCATTGATGGAACTCACTGCCAACTTAAGAAACAGAGGGCGTAGTTTAATAAACTCACGCGTCTTTCTTTCTCGTTCGCTTAACGATTTTCTAACCTACTCACACCGCAGTCTCATTGACGGCTGACCGACAATAAAATTATTTTGACTCATCACGCGTTGCGCTTCTTAAGCTGTCAAATATTACAGTTGTGTCGGCTTCAACCCGCATAGTGGCACGACCAGAAAAAACGTGCTATTCGGCGCTACGGTTTTGCGACTCCTGCTAAACGTGAGTGTAATTAGTTTGATAGTCATGTCACCGCGTAATTGCATCTACGGCAACGATGCGCGTCACTGGGGGTACCAGAATCGGAAATGATAAGTTATATCGGGCATAGCTACCTTTACCCTTCTCTTAAATTGTGTCGAGGTAACTTTCGCGTTTCGCCCGTCGTTTATAGACCTTTCCAACGTTTACAAACTCAGAGTACAGCGTGCGATCTTCACAACCCAGCACGTGCGTGTCCGTCGCTTCGGAAAGCGAGCAAAGCACGCGCCATACGCACGAACGCTCAAAATGGCACCGGCCTCTTGGTCTTTCTTGGAAAGGTCCATGCGAGCAAAATTACTTATTCAGAACTGTTAATTGTGGTGCCCACTTAAAAATAACACATATTGTTTAGAAGTCTAACATTCTAGTGATGTAGGAATACGCTTTCAGGGTTCATACTGAGGGGCAGTTTAGTCTGGTGCATAATCAGGTAGACCCGAACAGAAAAACCTCTTGACGAATGACATCAAAAATATTTTCTTTTCAATTCTTATGTCCTACATAGTCCTTATTTAACTTCAAGGTACTTTTTCAAAATAACAAAGTTATGTTACCGTTTTTTTTAAAGATACCTGCAGCAAGTGTGAGGTGGTTGAGAAGGCAACGATGCAAGTTGTCACTTGTCTCGTACCAATAAATCGTCTGTAAATGGCAAAACAAAAACGATATATAATACGGGAACATGATACAATGTGTTTCACGCAGCACCAGAGAAAATGTTCCTACTAAAATTCCATTTCACAAAAAAAAAAAACTTGATCCCACATTCTTCACTGCCGAAAGGTATACACATTGATGTGCATCGCGTTTCGGATAACTAAGACCTAAAGTGATTTGGCGTGACTAATTTAGATTAGTGAATATAAACTTGTAATTTTAAATAGTACCTTGCTTAGTGTCATTGAAGGCCATTAGATCGCTAAATTTTACAAAACGTGTTGGTCTTTGAAATTTTCCGTTTGTCCTACACATGTAAATACGGCTGATCCAAACGCGGCTTATAATAAACAAGTATAACGTGCGGGTCTATCAACATTGAAAGTACTTTTTTCCTACAGAAAATGAAGCATACGCTGCTACGGTTTCTAAAATTGACAACTTCAGTGATTTTGAATTACACCCACTAAATTTCTAATTTAAACAATATGTTTATATTTCATAAGTTGAAGGTATTTATACAGAACAAATTTAAAACCTAATTATCCTAGAGTTTCAATAAATGGAGTGCTGGACAGCTATTAGAGCGGTACTAATATTTCCTCCGTGTGACGCGTAGCTTCTATAGGAATATTTATGCCAATATTAGGCAAGAGATTCCCCATTCGTAATGAGCTTGCTATTGAAATGAATTTCAAACAAAGAAAATATACGTGAAAAAAAGACAAGTCCTACGTCCTCGCGGACTACATATCGGCAGAGTACAGTGGGAGAAAACAAGTTCGGCAAATTGTAGATCGCAGTCGAATGACGGCATTCATTTCAGGATTACGAGGTGGACCTGTACCTGCGCCAGCGGTGGCACGACGACCGCTTCGAGCAAAGCGGCATCACCGGTCCGCTGGACTTGAACGACCCGAAGCTGGTGCAAAGGATCTGGAAGCCCGAGGTGTTTTTCGCCAACGCCAAGCACGCCGAGTTCCAGTACGTGACAGTGCCCAACGTCCTGGTGCGGATCAGCCCTTCGGGGGACATCCTGTACATGCTCAGGTAGCGCCCCCTCGTATCGATTTTATTTATCTATTTATTTATTCTGCTTAATTTGCCCACAAACAGCTCTAGGCCTTATTAGTGCGCACATATTACAAACAATAAAAGAACAGATAAAGACCAACAAACAAGCAAGACGCAATTTAGAAAAGATAAAAGGAAATACTGAGGAATGACGCCACAAGGGAATGATGTATCTGACAGCGCTCCGCGGAAAGGTGCCAAGATGGCTGCCAAGAAGGACATCCGTCCTTTGTGCTCTGATCCATTTTATTAGAACCTACAGTATCTTAATTGCGGTGCATGCCTGCGTCGATATCATTGTAAACGTGTTAATAACGATCGTGGGGACGACTACAACCTTTTCATTGAAGAGGAGACGAGAGGTTTGAAGAGGAGACGAGAGGGACGCATCCAGGTCCAGATCTTTGGGAGCTTTTTTTAATTTTATTTTTATGCACTGAGGTATTGCTATGGTAACTGACGACTTTAAAGACGCAGGCAGGACGTGAAGAGTTCCGAACGCCTTGTAGAGCCGTCGCTCCGGGGCAGGGGGCGCGAGTGCTTCAACAAGACGCGACCATGGTATGCTGGCTGCACCATCCACGCGGCGCTGTAAAGTTAGGTTTTGCACGTGCCACGTTCAAAAAGAAGCATCTGTATATGCGCAATAACAACACGCCCAAAAAAAAATAACAAAATTAAAAAAAAAAAATTTAGCCTTTTTACTCTGGTGAAGAAGAAAGACCAGTGTCGTGTCCCAGCGAGGGACAACGGCAGGGACGTCGTGACTGAACAACCGTCATCAGGCCAGTGATGTTTATTCAGGGTGCAAGGACCCAGCTCGAGAAGGAAAGAAAGACGAAGTGGCATCTAGTGGCCGAGAATTATAGATGTGGCAAAGATGTTGCAATGAAAGAAAAAGTGAGAATACAACATTCCCCCCCCCCCCCCCCCCCGGTTAAGAAAAGAAGAGAAAGAGAAAGAGGAAAAAAGAAAGAAGTAGACACAAAACAAATGCAACACAAATTACATAGGACTCAATGCAATATACAAAGTACGATAGACAAGAATAAATAAATGTACAATCACCACAATAGGAATCAGCACGGTTTGTACATAATAATATACACGGAGTAACTACAAGCTTTGTACAAAAATTGCCACGAACAAAAGATACGAAACGTTATAAACATTAGGCATTTGTAAATCATACTATCAAAAATAAATTCCGGGCCCGGTTCTAAGAATCTATTGGATACGCGAGTGACCAATAGCAATACATAATCGCACATAGTGACATAAAACATTAACATGCCTAACATTCACACAGCATCTCCGAACCTCACAGGTTTCCGCCGCTCACGTCTAGAGCGTCTAACAGCCTCGTTTGCTGGCGCTGTTGCGACGGTGTTAGATGCAGCCGCTGCACCTTTGTTCCCCTGCACAGTCCTGTTACCGGTGGATCTTCGATCGGAAGTGTCCTGATCACCATTAGGCTGGACCGGTGGATCCCGTGCAACAACGCCTAATGGCGTACACTGGGCAGGAACCTGACTGTCATCTGCGACAGGAGGTGATTCAGGAACCCAGTGAACTGTCAGGCTTCCTGATGGCTGATACTGAAACGTGTTTGAGGGCGTCGACTGTTTCTCGGGTGGAACGGCAGCGGTCAACTTGGATGCGTTCCAGGCTCTTCCGTCATCTAGGCGGAATGTCCAACGTCCAACTGGTTCCACTTTTTTCAACGGCTCGCTGAACTTGGATTTATCGTAGCGCGTTTTCTTTGGAAGCCGGTAACGAATTGACCAACAACAAATGTCGGTCGTTTGGCTCCTCGTCGCTGGTCAGTGTATTTCTTGCTTGACTGTTGCCGATGGCACACTCGTTCTCGTAGACGTTTCATCTCCTTTACTGGGTTGCGAAGAAATTCCCGAGGTGACAGACCCAGGATATGGAGACGCGTCTTCGGTTTCCTTCCGTGGAGGAGGAGCGCTGGCGACAGGCCTGTTGTGGCATGTGGGGTACACCGGTACACCCCTAGGTAGTCGGTGACTGCTTCTTGTAACCTACGCTTCTCAGCGGCAGCGAGCTGAATGAAGTTCTTCAGTACTCGATTGAACCTTTCGACGAGCTCATTGGCTTGCGGATAGTACACCGACGCGTAGACGTGGTTTATGCCTCGGTCTTTTAGGAAGTCGTTAAACTGTAAGGACGTGAACTGTGTCCCGTTGTCTGACACGAGACAACCTGGATAACCTTCCCGAGCGAAGACTGATGACAGAAATGTCTTCACTCGAGAGGTTGTCACGTCGTGGCAAAACTGAACCTCTGGCTATTTAGAAAAAAAATCAACAAGAGTGATGGCGTACCGGCATGCTGGCTCTGCTCGTTCAAATGGGCCGACAATGTCGATGGCGACTTTGGCCCATGGCCGCTCCGGAAGTTGAACTGGCTGTAAGGGTGTTGGTGAACCTTTGGCAGGCTTGTCTGTCGCTTGGCACACCGGGCAGCTTCTGATCACACTTTCGGTTTGACGATCCATGGCAGGCCACCAGTAGAGGTCTCGGAGCCGACACTTGGTCCTGACGATTCCTGGATGGCCTTCGTGAGCAATCTCAATCAGTGTATTTCTCAGTTTCGTAGGAATTACAACATTTTCTCCTCTCATCAGCATGTCATCTACAACTGAGAGTTCGTCACGAACATGAAAAAAAGGAACAATGTCGTTGGACAAAAACTTCTGCGAAGGCCAGGATGAAACTACATAATCCATCACTTGACTTAGGATGACGTCATCTGTCGTGGCTTGCTGCAGCTGTTCTTTTGTCACGCAAGGAGTGACGAACGACACGATCTGCTCTTCAAATGATGTCCCACCTTCCGTGTCAGCTACTGGCAATCGTGACAGAGCATCCGCCACACGGTTGTCAGAGCCTCGCTGATACTCAACCGTGAAGTGATACATCAGCAGACGTGAGGACCATCGCGTGATGCGCAGCGGACAATGTCCTGTACCGCGTGTTGACAGAAGGGCAATCAGTGCCTGGTGGTCGGTACGTAATGTAAAGTGGCAACCCCATAGGTAGTTATGCCATCGCTCACATGCCCAGAAACATGCCAGGGCTTCTTTTTCCCCAACAGAATACTTTCGTTCTGCTGGAGTGAGCGTACGAGAGGCAAAAGCAACAGTATGGACTTGTTTCCCCGCTCGTTGCTGGAGGACAGCCCCAAGCCCATATGCGGAGGCATCTGTTGCGACGATTATCGGCAGGGCGGGGTCGAACATCCGAAGCACTTGTCTGGACGACAAGAGAAATTTCAACCGTTTAAAACTTTCGCTGGCCTCGGGGTCCCAAATGAATGGAACGTCTTTGCGCAGGAACCGGTGAAGTGGTTCCACTTCGGTCGCAAGTCTGGGAATAAATCTGGAATAGTATTCCACCAGTCCCAGGAATGACCTGAGCTGGCTAATGTCCCTTGGCACTGGTGTCTGGTTGATGGTGTCTACTTTTTGTTTGAGAGGAGCGATTCCCTGGCTGCTAACTTGGTGACCCAAGAAAGAGAGTTCTCTGACATCAAAGACGCACTTGTCATTCAAGCGTAGCCCCGCACTGGAGATACGCTGAAGAACGGCTCGGAGGTTAGCAAGATGCTCCTCGCTGGATCTGCCAAAGACAATGATGTCGTGTATGTAGAATAGCACACCTTCACAGCCATGTAAAATCCTAGACATCATTTGTTGGAATGTGGCTGGAGCAGAGGCCAGGCCAAAACATACTCTCTTAAATCGGAACAGGCCTTCATGTGTTACAAAGGCTGTCAGGTCTCTGCTATTTGGGTGTAGTTCTACCTGATGGTATGCAAAAGCCAGATCTAGTTTTGAGAAGTGGGTTGCACCAACCAGGAAATTAAGCAGCTCCTCTGTGTGCGGTAGAGGAAAGCTGTCAATAACAACTGCCTTGTTTCGCTTCCTGAGATCTACACACATCCTAATTTTTCCATCCTTCTTCTGGACTACGACGATTGGCGACACCCATTCAGACGCGTCAATACGTTCAATCACGTCATTTGCTTCAAGGCGCTTACGCTCGTCTGAAACTTGCTTGCGAACCGTAAACGGAAAACGTCGCAATTTGCATTGTACTGGTGTAACAGAGAGACGGACTTTTACCTTGCGTACATAGCCTTCGGCGTGACCAAGCTCGGAAACAAAAAGATGCTTGTAGTCAGCACTCAGTGATTTTGGAAGGCGTCCCACTGTAGGTGTTTCAGGTGTCGCTATTCCAGCAGCAACTTGTCGATCTCCGATATGAGGAGGACCACTCTTCGGAGACAGCCGTGATGCGGAACTTGGTTCCCCTACAGCAGCACGTAGACGATCCTCCCACGACGACGGCCGTTGCTGGAATTTTTCTGGAGGGCTGTGTGCTACCCCGGCACCATCCGGTACTTCGTTGGTCAATGAATCTTGCCCCGATGAGGAATCTAGGCCTTTGACCTGAGTGTGAAGACAGCGCAACGCTGTCCCTAGGGTGCGAAGATCTAGGGCTTGTATAGCATCAAGACCCAAGAGAGACGTGCCGATGTTTGTAACATAAAATAATATAAGCGCCGTCTTTTCCTGGTAGGAGACATCTGCGTAAAATGCTCCCAGGACTGTTATTTTCTCATGTGAATAGTTCAGGAGAGCCGTTGGTGGTGAGAAAAGCTCGATGGTCCTTTTCTCCTTGAGGCTCTTGAAAACAGCGTCCGAAACGATGGAAACGGACGATCCGGTGTCCACGAGAAAGTTGACAGCATGATGGAAGACGATGACGTCTATGTAAATGGCCGATCGACGACCACCAGGAGTAACGTTCACCACAACTCCATAATCGTCTTCGTCGTCGTCGGAAAATATCTCTTGGATATGAACGGAGTTCTGTCGACGGTTGGAGCTCCTGCAGACTCGCGCGTAATGTCCGCGCTTACCGCACCCATAGCACGTGGCATTTTTT